ATCCTGATATGAAATGGCCTAACCGGGGTGGAGTGGCAGTTGTGTTCTCGGCACAGGACTGGCCCAGCCCCCAAGCCGTGTAGCTTCCCTAACACCATTCACTCAGGCTCCGTCAGCCTCCCCCGGGTTCCTGGGCTTCTCCACTTGCTTTCATGCAGTTTGCACCCTCGGGTGATGGTGTTGCTCCTAATCTTTCTCCTTTGCCGTATTTACAGGACACTCTTTTGCAGTTGCAGCCACATTATGACTTTACAACCCCTGGACGCCCCCATATCCTGCCCAGACCCCTGTTTTGAACTCCACCTGACAACTTGACACCCCCCTTTCCCCCAACACTCTTCGTCACCCTGCCAGCAGCTGCTTCTCCTGCGTTTCTCGTCCCCCCACCTCAGAGCTGCCTGATGCAGGGCTCCCCCCAGCATGTTCCCCTCCCATCTTCAGTGGAATCGTGAACCTGGCTGAGGCCCCTCCCCTCGCATGGTGACCTCGGCAGCCTCCTAGTCCATCTGCTTCCAAGATTGGCCCCACCGCACCTGCATCTTCATCTTGGTGTCCTAGTGATCCTAGGACACGCCAGCCTTGGGATTGAAAACAGCCTCTCTCCCCGCGGCAAGGCCCCGTCACAGCCATCCCTGTGCCTGTCATCGCGGCCCCCTGGAATAAAGTCTGCCTTACCATCTTCACAAAAGGAGAAAGAAAACACAACCCTCATGCTATGGTTCCCTGCCTTACCATCCTTAACGACTCCCATAGCTTACAGGATACATTTTAAACCCATATCATGGCACCGGGGGCCTCTTAGCCTCCTCCTTCCTGCCTCTCTCCCATGGGGGTCCTACACTCCAGTCATACTGAGCTCCTGAACAGTGTTTCCCATCATTTTCCATCCTTCCAGCCTCAGTTCTCCCTCCTCCAGGAAGCCCTCCCTGACTTCCTCGGCCGGGGTAGGAACATTTGCACTAGCTGCTTATTATCCTCACAGCATTTTTCCTGAGGTTTGGCTTACAAGAGGTTTTTCTGTTGAATAAATGAAGAAATCAGCAACAAGGGTAATTGTTGTTGAAAGAAAATATTTAATTTATTATATTAAACGTAATACATGTTTATTATAGAAAAATAATAAGGAAAATTCAGGCAATAGTAGAAAATAAAAATTATGCCTCATACTTGACCAAGCATAATACCTGTTAACATTTGGTTTTGTTTTTCTCCATTCTTTTATCTGTGACTTTTTTTTTAACATAGCCTCAATTATGTGTCTCTAAATAGTGCATTTTTAAATCTTCTTTTTTTAAGGAAAGAAATAAACATAACTCTTGCATCAAATGCTCTGTAAAAATGCTTTAGTGGCCACACAATATAGCTTTGAGGACACACCATCACGTCGTCATTTCCGTGTTGCTGGACACTCAGGCTTTTGTGTTTGTTTACTATGGTGAATAACATTGCAGCGAACATCTTTTAGAGTGAAATTTTTGTACTTTAAATTATTTCCTTAAATTAGAATATTAGAAGTGCAATTTAAATACAAAGCATATAAACACGGTTAAGGACCGTTATGAGGAGCTTGTTTCCAAGTCGCTTTCCTGAAAGGGTGTATCAGTTTACACTTTCATTTGTGTTGTCTGAGAGTGTCTTTCTCATCACAGGATTAAATACTGTGATTATCTCAGCTTTGTAAATTTGACAGCTAAAAACTGGCAGCTAACTAATTCTTAGTCATCTGAAGTTCTTTTTCAAATTGTCAAAACATGTCTTAGAGTGAGTGCTGATATTTATAATCTTGTTGATTTGTGGATTGCCTATTAACCTTTTTCATAGCTGTTGCAAATATTTTTTTCAGCAGTTTAGATTAGGAACCGAATATCTCCCTCATGTCTTTAAAGAAATATGCCTGCCCAGGTGCTTGATAACCCTAAAATGGAGATTTCTGCTGGGCTTTCTCTTATATGATGTTGAGGCCGTCATGGTTTGTTGAGCAGAGGAGTGAGTGCTAAAAGCTGGAGTTCAGTAGAACCACAGTGATGCCTCCACCCTGGGTAAATGCTTAACCACACTCCTCCCTGTAAAAATGACAGTGTCATTAAACATGGACCAGCTGTTCCATGAGCTCATTCCTAGGAAACGGTGGCTGAGTAGCAGAAGCCTGACAGGTCTCCATTTCCGTCCATGTGTGGGATGTGTGCACGTGACATAAAGCCTCGCACATCGCTCTGGGGAGGATCAGCTTGAGTCAGCTTCTGGCAGAAGATTGGGACCGTCTTTGGACAAATTTGAATATTAGACACCAAATCATCTAATGAAAACCAGCTGGGAGGAGTCGGTTTTCTTGTGTTCTTGGGCATTTGACAAATGGTGGGAGATAGTTATAATTTTAGAAAGGAAAACGTAATGCATATTCTCATGATGATTTGTCAATTGGATATTTCGCAGAGAGGAAAACGTCTGAAATGTCCCAAATAAAGCTATCTGCTGTCATGAGAACACAGCTGGCAGAGGGGAAAGCAGTATCGGTCAACAGGAGGTCGTCCTGCGGACGTCAGTGCCCCGACACCTCGGTGTGTCCCTTGGCTGTGTGGCCTTGGGCAGGTCACTGGTCAAGCTTGAGATAATGACACCGGTCTGCTGGGAAGCATGGCCCTAGGCCAGATGTACTAGGAGGCCCCTTCCTGGCTGTGATTTTAAGAAGAAGGGAAAATGTTTATTTGTCTTGTGAAAGCCAGGGTCGGGGAGGACAGAGCCAGCAACACGGACAGCCCATCACGCTGAGCCGGAGGTCCCGCCGAGCTGAACTGAAGCTGCCTCAACTACAGTAGGTGACTCACCGGGCCTCAATTTCCACGCTGGTGCTGTGGAGATAATAACACGGACTTTGCGAGGCTGTTGAGGCTTACCTGCGCTAAGACACAGAAAGTGCCCAACACAGCGCCTGCAGAGCCAGCACTCGGTGGCAGTCTAAGGAATGTCTATCACAGCGCTCCCAGATGGCAGGTCCTGCCTGCCTGGGTCCAGCTCCAGCTGCGCGGCTCAGGGCTGTGGGACCTCGGCGGGCTGTGTCTCCTGCCTGCCTCAGTTTCCGCATCTAAGCTAGAAAGCGTGACTGTTCCTCCCCAGGGGGCTCTTATGAGAAGCCAGCACATGGAAGCGTGCCAGGCATTTTCCCAACGTCTGGCACATCCTCAGCGGCAGGGTCTCCTTCTCCCTCTCCTCCTCTTAGAAATATTTTCCCTGGGAGTCCCACAGAGGTCGTGAGGATGGCAGAGGTTGCCGGCACTAACAGCTGTGTGGGGCGGCCCAAGGCCCCACTTTGAAAGTTCCATTCCATCCCTCTCATTTCATCTGAGGAGCACCATGTTCTCCCTGGGGAGAACTGGCCTGTTGCATATGAAGAGTCCGGAGATTTTGAACGAGGGAACCCCTTCAGCTTCGAATGGCCATTACGGTTGATGATCCCAGAAGTTCCCTTTCCAAGTGATGACCCATGGACTTGTGTCCCTCGTGTGATAACCTGCACTACACACATATCCTACACGTGTCCGTAGGTGGTTATAAGCTGCCACAGCCATACAGATCTGAGAGCCAGAGGCCTTTCAAACCAGCTAAGGCTCTGAAACGCTTCGCCTCGACTTATGAAAGCAAATCGGGGCACATCCGTGATCCCACGAATGCTAATTTGCTTGTCACACACCAGAAACCCAGGAGGCACAGAATAGATGCTCTCTTACTGGCTTATAGGTTGGGTACTTTTAAGTTGGAGATGTTTAAATCAGAGATGAACCTATTGCAACAATACGTTTCATGTCATGTGAGCCTTTTGTTTTCTAGCAACTAAAGGGAACTGTGGTAGGAAGAGCTGGGGCACAGGGATGAGGAAGACAGGTAAGGGGACAGAAGCTGGGGCAGCAAGGAGTGACTCAGGTGAGGCTCAGGAACTCTCACCCCGCAGTGGGCAGCTCGTCACCCCTGCTCCCCGTGTCTGTGTCCCTTCAGGAGAAGCTGGCCAGGGACTGGGCCACCACTCATAGACAGTTCCTATGTCTGCACACACGTGTGCATGCCTGTGTGTGTGTGTGCAGGTGTGTGCGTGCCTGCATGTGTGTGTGTGCACGTGTGTGTGCACACGTGTGTGTGTGTGTGCCCGCAGGCATGTGTGTCTGTGTACTCCTTTACTAGATGCCCTCTCTAAGTAAATCACATTTAAGTGCTGTAATTAAACCATCTGGCAACATCTTTTCTTAATGCTTTTTCACTGTTCACCAGGTTGAGGATTTCTTTTCCTTATTTTGGCTTTTGCATCTTTAACGAAATGATATGACTTAATACAGTATCATTCTTTTCAAATTCAGTGTTTCAGTAAATAGTTATTTTCAGCAGACAATTACTTAGGTAGAAGTAGTTTAACATGGCATTTATCTCTGAAAAAATTGTTTTTTTTTCCTTTCTGTCTAGATCCTTTAAAATATATAATATTGCATCATATAAAATATTGGCCTGTACCAAGCACCTGTATTCAGAAAAATAAAAAAGGTAACTTCCTATTGATTCAGCAAAATGTTACCAAGGAACTTCTCGCACACATGGTAGACTCCAAATGTGGCGGTACTGTGATTATAGATGGCATGTGGCCACACATTTGTATTAGGCTGATCAAATGAGCCTCTCCTTCTAAAATTTCCACCATAGCGTGACGCTTGAATTGCCCACATTTCAGTGATACTTTCTGGTCTACGAATATGAATTCTGGCTGGGCGTGGTGGCTCACACCTATTATCCCAACACTTTAGGAGGTTGAGGCCAGTACACTTGAGCTCAGGAATTGGAGGCCAGCCTGGCCAACATAGTGAAACCCTATCTCTACTAAAAATACAAAAATTAGCCAGGCATGGTGATGGCAGCACCTGTAATCCCAGCTACTTGGGAGGCTGAGGCAGGAGAATCGCTTGAACCCCGGGAGGTGGGGGTTACAGTGAGCCAAGACCACGCCACTGTACTCCAGTCTGGGTGACAGAGCAAGACTCCATCTCAAAAAAACAAAACAAAACAAAACAAAACACAGCGTAGCAATTTCTACTTCTCTTCTCATCCACATGTGTTGATCTCTTGACTTTCACTTTATGTGATTTCTCACTAAAGCATAAGCTACTCATGAGCTGAAGTTATCTTTTGGCCCTGAAAACTAGCCTTTACACGAGCTTACCCTTCACTGTAGCCGCTTTCTGCAAATGCCCAGTCTGGCCACCTCCGGCTACCTTTGGTCCTGCAAATCTGTCCACTGCCCCATTCATGAACTCTGCCTTTAAAAGGTTTTCGAAGTCCACTCCTTTCTGCTCTGCCCAAACTCAGACCCTCCTCATGGCTGGCTTGAACCACAGCAGAACCTGCCTTGCTGGGTCACTTTCCTTCAGTTCCTTCTCATGGTTTCTAGAATTCCTTGAGCGCACACAGCCGGCCAACTTTACAATAACTTTAGAGAGTAAGGATCAGTGCCCCAACTTCTTGTTTCCTTAGTGGCTTTTTAAAAAATAGTAGACAGTATATAGCTATCTACTGGCAATAGGAATGAATCTCTTAAAATCAAGGTGGGGAATGTGGTTCTTATGCAAGAGAATCAGTGTTTTGTGTTCAAGGAGAATTTAATATTTGAAAAATAAAAAAATAAAAGATCTTAAAACGTAGGTTTCCATTATGATCAGATGGTTCTGTCAAAATGGAAAGAAAGCAGGGAATTTTCTGTACTCCTCAACACAAAGTTTATCTTGTTCTTGAAAAAATATTGAACTATTTTTTCAATATTTGTCCTTGCCAAGATTTCACCCAGGCACCCGCTGTTGATACGTTCTAAATTTAGTTTCCTTCTGATTGTTCTAAGAGAATATCTACTTTATCATATTTTGAAATAAGACTTTACAGTATCTAAATGTGGATGATATATCCTTTTAACTATGTCCCTGATATTGAAGCTCTGAACATAACCTCTCAATTTGAGTCATCTGTGTTTCCAGGTATTGCTATAGATAAGTCACAAAATACTGAATTTTGGTGTTTTATATAAATGGTTGCAGTGTTTCATTCTTCACAAAGCATGAGAAATTCTTTTACAATACAGTGGCAGTGTACCATCGTTTTAGGTGAAGAACAGACTTACCACACATTGTGCTTTCTTTCACTTTGTGAGACAGTGAAGGAGGGACCTTCTCTTCAGGTGAAATGAAACCCCCACACGGATTAGCCTAACTTCTTCGGCTGAGGGCTGGGTCTTCTTTTATTACAAATCTACTGCATCTTTATACGTGGTTTCACTGAAAAAATAAAAAATAAACATGGGAATTCCCTTTCCAAGGCTCTAAGTCACCACCAGGCGGCATAACAGACCTCTCTGTCCCTGGTCTGTAGGAGACGGGACAAAGACGGGACAGTGCTGGGAGGGCCCGTGGGCAGTAGGATGCCAGGGCCTCGCCAGGAAGCCTCAGTAGGCGTCCAGGAGGAGTTTGGACATTACCCCATTCTCAAGATGAAGCCTCACCAGGATCTCACCAAGAGAGCTGAGGGGTCAGATTCACCTTCTCCCTGCGCCTCTGCGCTTCTCTCTGGATTTCCTGTCTGCACATCCAGTGCCGGGCATGGTGTGGGGTGGTTCCTCACAGTTATCCTCACTGGGTGTGTGGTTATCTGACATCAGTCCTCCCCAGAAGGTGCAGCTGCCCCTAGTCGGTCGTTCTGTCTGTAGCTGGTGTGGTATCTGGCACGGGGGAGGCCCTGGGTCCGTGTTTGTTGATGGAATGAATCAATGTGTGAATGAAGGAAGTCACATTGGCGGCAGTGGCCGGGTGGGGGGACTGTTTGGGGACAATTCAGATCATTCTGAGGACACATGCAGAGGCCTGCTCTAAGACAGCAGCCGTGGGAGGGCACGGAGTGGCATTGAGAGAGGAAGCTGACTCGATTGCGGGCGGAGAGGTGGGCGGAGGTGTCTGGGAAGCGCCGAGCAGCTGGTAGTCGAGTGGTGGCGTTTCCTTGACACTCAAGGCTCTGTGCAGCACTGTCTATTGTCTCGTTTCATCCTCACAAAAACCACCCCTATAAAGTTGTCGCTATTATTGTCTCTCCTTTACACACGAGTCTGGGCACAGGGACTTCAAGTGAAGCCTGCTAGGAGGCACTGGTGGTGCCCCCCAGGAAGGAAATGCAGAGGAAGGACTCCGGAGGCGGCAGGAGCCCCCCTAGGAAGGAAACGCAGAGGAAGGACTCAGGAGGCGGCAGAAGTTCTGCTTTGAATGTGTCACATTTGAGGTGCCTCTGGGGCTTCCAGGAAGAGGTGTCCAGACGGCCGGGGCTGAGGCTTGGAGGAGTCAGGATTGGAAATATGGACTGGGTGCCCATCAACATCTAGGTCATGGTCAAAGTGGGTGGTGGGGTGTTACAGGAAAGAGCTCTGCAGCCCTCCGGAATCCTAGCCCGCGCCCGCAGATGCGCAGGGGCAAGGACGCAAGGGCAGTTGTGCATTTTCCTTCTTTTCTGTGACATTCAGAAATAGGCAAAATGTGATACACTGCAAAAGTGACTGTTTGCTATCTGCCGGAGTGGCCATCAGTGTCCGTTAAATGAGAGCTGTGCAGAATGGCATGTGTTTGCCCTCTTAATATTTTTGCTTTAAAAACATTTTTTAAAACCCTGGTATCAATGGTCAGTTCTGTGACTTTCAAATGCAAAAATTAAGGAAGACAAAAGAACTGTACTTGACACCTTGAAAGGCCCAGAGGGATTCTTCACCTTGGGTCCAAGAATTCCCCCAAGGGCCTTTGGATAGATTTCCAGAGATCCCCGAAATTGAATAGGAATAAAAGGGTAGCATTACCTTCCATTATGAATGCCGGCAAAAACCTTCAGTAGCATTAGAAGTCTGTGTGACCTCAGCACCAATAGAAACCACAGATATTTCTCTGTCACTTTAGGGTTGTTGCTGAGAGCTGGGGAAATGGTTGTCAGGCATCACCGTCGGTATTTGGTAGAATAAGGACGTGCATGCATGTGCTGACTGTTGAACTGTTGCCTCTCCACTGCAAACCCTCCCTTCCTTACCACAGGGCCAGAGCTGTGCCCTATCGGGCCCTGCCCCCAGGAGGGCCAAAGAGCCTGGGCAGTGGGAGGAGGCAGCCTGGAGCACGCTGCTTCCTGCCTGCTTCCTGTTTCTCTGAGCGTCACCCCAGCAACGGGACTTCACCCTGGCAGCAGCTGTTGGTTCCGTTTGTAGTGTTTTTCACACGCCCAGAGACCACCCTCATCAGTCCCGCCTGAGCCCCCGCGGTCCGGGTCCCCACTCCAAGCCTTCTGAGACCATCACCCCGGTCTTTGTCTCCAGCCCTAGCTGTTCCTGAGATGAGGCCTCTGTGGCATGAGACCTCCTTTGCTTTTTCAGCCATGCAACACCTGTTTAGGGACTCCCTGTACTGCTTCTATTGAAATCACTGCTGTCATTTCTTTTTTCCTGACTTGGCTCTGATTGATATACTGTATCAGGATTTAAAAATATTTTTTGACAACGTGTTTCAGAATAATCAGTTTCCTTCATAACCCTATGTTTTGTTACATGCATTTAAAAATGTTATTCCAAGAATGCCCCACAGGCTTTTCACCAGCCTGTCCGGGGGATCCACTACACAAAAAAACAGAGAGCTGAAAGCAGTTGCCAGCCTGATTAATTGCCCTTTTCCTGAGCTGGGCTTAAAAGCCTCTAGGGACACAAAACATAAAGGGTTTTCTTTCTGTTCTTCCTCCCTTTCTTTTCAAATGAAGTTATGGAAGAAAATGAACTTTGTTATTTTCCCCCTTTAAAAGTAGTACCTGCTCATGGAAAAAAAGAAAAAAAAAACAAAACACTGGAAAAGAGAAGTAAAGAAAAAAATATTTGTATCTTCTTTGTGACATAAAAACACCCATGGCTCTATTTTGATGTATTTCCTTGGGGCCTTTGGTGGTGTTTATTTTTGCAGAGACATAATTGTCAGAACTTTGTCATAAGCATTTCCAATTCTACTTCATACTTGTCATAAACACTATTTTTATAGCTGGACAGGATGCTATAAAGTAGCAGGTTGACCTGGCCCTTTTCTTTAATGTAAAACTTTTAACATAATTTTATTGTGATAAAATATACCTAAGATTTACCATTTTAACCACTTTTAGGTGTACAGTTCAGTGGTTTTAAGTGCACTAGTGTGTAGCAATCACCATCATCCACTTCCAAAACTTTTTCATCTTCCCAAACTGAAATTCTGTACACATTAAACACTGACTCCCCAGATCCACAGAGCTGAAGGTGGAATGGGCATCGCTTTCCCCAGCCCTTGGCAACTGCCATGCTACTTTCTGTCTCCATGAATTTGATTAACGTACATTTTTTTTTTTTTTTTTTGGAGACAGAGTCTCGCTCTGTTGCCCAGGCTGGAATGCAGTGGCCGGATCTCAGCTCACTGCAAGCTCCGCCTCCTGGGTTCCCGCCATTCTCCTGCCTCAGCCTCCCGAGTAGCTGGGATTACAGGCGCCTGCCACCTTGCCCTGCTAGTTTTTTGTATTTTTTAGTAGAGACGGGTTTCACTAGGTTTAACCAGGATGGTCTCGATCTCCTGACCTCGTGATCCACCCGTCTCGGCCTCCCAAAGTGCTGGGATTACAGGCTTGAGCCACCACGCCCGGCCTAATGTAAATTTTTACTACTGGGCTTCGCTTTTCCAATAAAAGTTCAAGGTACATCATTTAAATGTATATACTTTAACGCAAGCAGTGTTGCATGACGCCAGCCTGCCTCCTTTCCTCCTTTTTAAAAAATTAGACCAGCAACTGTTGTTGGATCCCATCTTGCCAGTCCTGAGGTTATCTTTCTAGTGAGACCTGAAAATTCATATGGGGACATGACAGCTGTCCATTTTCATGAATTTCAAATGTGGAGGGCTCATGGTAGTGAGATGGTTTTATCTTTGTGGGTTTTTTGTTTTTTGAGACAGAGTCTCGCTATGTCGCACAGGCTGGAGTTCAGTGGCGCGATCTCGGCTCATGATAACCTCCGCCTCTCGGGTTCAAGCGATTCCCGTGCCTCAGCCTCCTGAGTAGTTGGAATTATAGACGTGCACCATGCCGGGCTAATTTTTGTATTTTTAGTAGAGATGGGGTTTCACCCTGTTGGCCAGGCTGGTCTCAAACTCCTGGCCTCAAGTGATCTGCCCACCTCAGCCTCCCAAAGTGCTGGGATTACAGGCGTGAGCCACTGCACCTGGCCCGGGAGATGGTTTTAAAACAGAGATGTGCCCTGGTTGCCTTCTCTGAAAGTTTATCTCCACACAGATCTCCTGACCTTTGGTGTGGCTGATTTGATGTGGAGTCTGTTGGATTCACACCATCTGGCTTGTTTTCTGGGAAAACTGCACTGGCTTTCGTCTTCCTCCTTTTGTGACTGCATAAACAAAAGGGTAAATTGTTTTCTTAAAAATTAGTTTTAAATTGTGCTAAAATACACATAACAATGTTTGCCACCCTAACTATTTTTTCAGTGACATCAGGTATAGTCATCCTGTTGTGCAGCTGACACCACTGGCCATACCCAGAACTTCTTCATCTTGCAGAACTGAAACTCCGCCCCCTTAAACACTGACTCCCCGTTCTCCTCTCCACCCAGCCCTGGCATCCACCATTCTACTTTGTCTTGATGAATTGTATGAGGTACCTTATCTAGCTGGAATCATACAGCATTTGTCCTTTTGTGACTAGCTTATTTCACTCAGCATTATGTCCTCAAGGTTTTCTCACATTGTAGCAGGTAACAGCATTTCCTTCCATTTTAAGTCTGAGTTACATTCCACTGTGTATATATACCATGCATGTTTCTCCATTTAGCCATCAGTGGACACTTGGGTTGCTTCTACCTACAAAAGACCAAATTATTTTGCCTATTTAATATAAGGTATTTGAAGGCCAGGCACAGTAGCTCACATCTGTAACCCTAGCACTTTGAGAGGTCAAGGCAGGAGGATCCCTTGAGGCCAGGAGTTTGAGACCAGCCTGGGCAACATAGCAAGACCCCAATCTCTACCCAAAAAACTAAAAACTACATAATTAATGTAATGTGGATTATTTGAAGTTTCAGTGCAGACCCCTTCTTATCACTGTATTATCTGATATTACTGAGCCACCATGAAACCTCTAGCACAGCTTACCTGTGGTACCAGGAGGCCACCCTCCTAGTCACATCAGAGTCTGCCTGATTTTTCTGCTTTCCTCACTGCCTGGGTCCCTTCGCCTTCCCCCAGAGACGAAGATGCTGCAAGTTAGAGTTGGAGCTCTAATATTATATTCTAAATGTAGGACATATATTTTAAATAATCATAGAATGTTAGAGCTAAAAAGGTTTAATATGCTTTATATTAAAAATCTATTTATCTCATTAATATTCTGAGTCCATCGCATCTCCACGGGCAGATCATTTCCCCTTTTTCTAAAACCTACACCATGGGAGGGTCTCTTTACCGAAAAGGAGAAGTTCATGAGCTTCCATTGCCTAATATCATTCTTCAGAGGCACAGTCATAGCTCCTTATCTGGCTCTCGAAGTTCAAGTCCAGCTGTCTAGATCATAACTTTCAACTAGGAAATAGCTGGGTGCCTTACAAAAATAACCAGCGCAAAGTTCAGGCCTCTTGTTCTAGAAAAGTGGGAAGGTTACTCCTACTACAGCCACAAGATGTAGACTTCCAGTTACTGTTGGGGTTCTGTGTGTTTAACAGGCACACCTCTTTCCTTACAGCGGGTGTACACAGTAGGCTATGTGGAGTGGAGCGAGGTAGAGGCCCTGGGGTGTGCAGGAAGGTGGGTGGGGAGGGGCTGGCGTGTCAGGGACAAATGTCAGCTCCCAGATCCCTTGGTAAAGTGTGACTGGGTACATCAGATTTAGATTAAATTATCCTGAAACTATTTTTTTTTTCTTTTTTTGAGATAGAGTCTCACTCTGTGACCCAGGCTAGAATGCAGTAGAGTGATCTCAGCTCGCTACAACCTCTGCCTCCAAGGTTCAAGCAATTCTCCTGCATCAGCCTCCTGAGTAGCTAGGATTATAGATACCTGCCACCAAGCCCAGCTAATTTTTGGATTTTTTAGTAGAGACAAGGTTTCACCATGCTGGCCAGGCTGGTCTCAAACTCCTGACCGCAAGTGATCTGCCTGCCTCAGCCTCCAAAAGTGCTGGGATTATAGGTGTGAGCCACAGCACCTGGCCCCTCAAACTATTTTGTAGATTGCATTATATAGATCAAACACCTTCATTGCATTTACATCTCTAGTATTGTATTTACTTAAATAATGATTATCAATAGCAACTCATTTAATTGTTATAAACCCTGGGAACTGGGTACCATTATCACTCCCATTTTACAGATGAGGAAACTGAAACACAAAGAGAGGATATGTAACTTGCCCAGCGCTGAAGATTACCACCAGGCACAGCATCCCTAGAATCTGTGCTCCCTGTCACCACAGTAGACAATTGTACTCCAACATCAACAATAAAAATAACTTTTCACTGACTTAAGTATTATTCCTTCTCCAAGCTAATCTTCCATTGGTCTCACTTTGATTCTAGCCTTTAGGCAAGAGTATCTTGTTGTGAGACGTGTAATTTGTTTCCTTTCAGGTGCTTTGCAACACAACTCTCTGTTTATCTTACAAGCAATTTTAAATGCTATTTAAATTCTGACAAGCCTGAGTTCTGTACTGTGTGATTACAGAGCAAGCACTAATTCACAAAGCTACTGTGTCCTGATTATTTCTCTAATTGTAGAGTAATTTAAGGAAGAAGGAATAGATCAGCGATAACTGTAAAATTATAATGATAATGGCAGTTCTGATATTCATACCCAACAAAGAAATCAGCAATAAAACTACTGAAAGGGTATAGATAAAATTTGTAAATACTTGCAGATTATGTATATGTCTAATCCAAAAAGTCAGTCTCAAACTGAGAGTTCAGTAAGATAGTTTGTAATAACAGAAACAAAAACCAAAGCATTCCTATATCCTATCATAATGATTTTTTTTTGTTTTCTTGAGATGGAGTTTTGTTCTTGTTGCCCAGGCTGGAGTGCAGTGGCGTGATCTCAGCTCACTGCAACCTCTGCCTCTTGGGTTCAAATGATTCTTCTGCCTCAGCCTCCCGAGTAGCTGGGATGACAGGTATGCACCACCACACCCAGCTAATTTTGTATTTTTAGTAGAGACAGGGTTTCACCATGTTGGTCAGGCTGGTCTCAACTCCTGACCTCGGGTGATCCACCTGCCTTGGCCTCCCAAAGTGCTGGGATTATAGGCATGAGCCACCACGCCCAGCCTGATTTTTAAATAATGGAAAAAATGATAAGATCCCACTCAAAGTTGCATATAGGAATAAAGAAATATGCAGGGCCTATATGAAGACCATAATAATTTACTGAAGGACACAGTTAGTTGAAAACTGCAGAGAGTGATACCTTGTCTCTGAACAAGAAGACTCCACATTAAAGAGACACAGATCCATCCCCAAATAATTGATAAATACAGTTGGCCCTTTGTGTCTGTGCGTTCCACATCCATGGATTCAACCAACCTCAGATCAAAAATATTTGGGGAAAAAAAAGGCTGGTGCAGTGGCTGGCCAGGCACAGTGACTCAGGCCTGCAATCCCAGCACTTGGGAAGGCCAAGATGGGAGGGTCACTTGAGGCCAGGAGTTCAAGACCAGCCTAGTCAACACAGCGAGGCCCCATCACAATAAGTAAATAAGAAAATATTTGGGCCAGGCGCGGTGGCTCAAGCCTGTAATCCCAGCACTTTGGGAGGCCGAGATGGGCGGATCATGAGGTCAGGAGATCGAGACCATCCTGGCTAATACGGTGAAACCCCGTCTCTACTAAAAAATACAAAAAAAAAAAACCTAGCCGGGCGAGGTGGCGGGCGCCTGTAGTCCCAGCTACTCGGGAGGCTGAGGCAGGAGAATGGTGTAAGCCCGGGAGGCAGAGCTTGCAGTGAGCTGAGATCCGGCCACTGCACCCCAGCCTGGGCTACAGAGCGAGACTCCGTCTCAAAAAAAATAAAAGTAAAAAAATAAGAAAATATTTGGAAAAAAATGGATGGTTGCCTCTGTACTGAACATGTACAGACGTTTTCTGGTCATTATTCTCTAAACAATATAGTCTAACAACTATTTACATAGCATTTACATTGTATTAGGTATGAACAGGAACCCAGAGATGATTCAAGTACACAGGAGGATATGCGTAGGTTATGTGCAAATACTCCACCATTTATATTAGAGACTTGAGCATCCTCCAATTTTGATACCCCAGTGGTTGGAGGGGGTCCTAGAACC